GTTGGATTGGACCTTTTGTTGTTACTAATGTTTTTCCTCATGGTGCAGTTGAAATTCAAAGTTTAGCAACCTCCAAAGCATTCAAGGGGAATGACCATAGACTCAAGCATTTCTATGAAGGCTTCCAAGTAGAAAATGTGGAACAATTGGACCTTGAGGATCTGATTTATGTTGATTAAAAAAGGGAAGTTCATTTTTTTTCTTTCTCTTCTTATTTTTGCATTTATATTTTGGTTGTTTTTGCCTTTTATTTGCATTTCACCTTACATTGGTGACAATGTAAGTTTTAAGTGTGGGGGAGGGGATTTAGGTTGTGTTTTAATTCTGCATTTTTTTTTTGTTTTAATTCTGCATTATTTTTAAAAAAAGTTTTGCTCTTTGCTTTTTGGGTTTTCAACAATTTTTTTTAGGTTGTATATGCCATGAGCAAGATTCAATTAAGCTTGAAAAGCTCATAACATGATTGGATAAACAATCTTCCAACTTAGAATTAATTAGTCTAGTTATTTTCCTTGAGAATGGTAGTGACTAAATTTAGTAGACAAAAGCTGGTGAGATTTTGACCCATTAGACTGACACATCCATATCAGTCTCACTATTTTCTTTCATGTGAGATATTCTTTCATGGATTTGTTTCTCTAGAACTTGCCTTGATTCTCTTTGAGGTCATATTGACACATGCATGCATGAACATGATTAAGGCCTTTTTTGTTATAAGCTACATAAGCCAAATAGCCTACCTTGTGATAAATTATTCCCTTTGCTGGACCCCTTTGAGCTTTACTGACCTTTGTCGTTCAATGTGAACCCATGTTACAAGCTTTAAACCCTAGAAAAAGTTAATACCCTTACCCAAGCCGTAGAGCTAGTGGAGTATTGTTCATCATTATGATATGTATGGATGTGCAAGTCTTGGGTGTGGGGATGTCTGGATTCATGATATGGTTATGAATGGTGAAATGGAACATGTTTTCATTCTCAGTTCGTGAGTTCCAGTGATTGATATGCTTTGAAAAAAAAAGTAAGTAAAGAAGTAAGGAAGGAATGGAGGAAATTGCTTTTGATGTTACAAACTATCCATGCCCCTCCTAAAATAAAAAAAAAGGGAATGCTTATATATATACAAAGGGTGGAAGCTGTTGCAAAGGATTGTTCCTTGTTGAATGGAGTGAGTGGTTTTACATGTCTTGTACTTTTAAGCTTTAATTGATTCATTTTTGCTCCACTAGTTTCGATGGCTTTTAAGCTACATTTCCAATTATTTTCCACCTTGATCCTAAGCCCCGTTACAACCCTTGAAAAGTCCTTTTGATTCATGTTATGCATGTGATCCCAGTGTTGGATAATGAGAAGATATGCGTTTGTTTCCGTTGGAATGAATTTGAGTGAAACACATACCCTTCAAACACATGACAGTAGAGTGTTTATTTCCGTGAGGGTCTACGTATTTAGTCTTCCATCTTCGAGTGAAAATGCTTACTAAGTAATTGAAAGTTGATAAGAATGTTTGTTCATGATGTGTTATGAGTATTGATGAGCTTAGTTTTTCTTCACTAATGGCATTGTAACCTTGGTGTTTTTTGGGAAAGTGAATTCGAGTTTTGCCCGAGGACGATCAAAAGCTAAGTGTGGGGGGGATTTGATGAGAATGCAAAATATAATATTTTTCTCCCTTAATGTTTAGTCTTTTATACTTA